GTTCTCTGAAGGAGGACGTCTTGTCAAAGCTTCGACTTTCTGTCGTATTTGACGCGACCCCTTAGGATCAGGCTTGCACTCAGTAACGGATTATCCGTCTATGCAAGGAGGAATCTTATGGCAGAGCTATTCCATCCGTGATCAGTCTCCCCTGGATGCTGATGTTGTCTTGTCAAGCAGGTAACATTACCATGTAAGACAAGAAGATAGGATCTTTAGCTGTTCGCCGCTTCTCCTATCTGTATACTGGCACGATAATCCCGTCCACGCGGGAAATTATGGACATTTTGTACACTCCCATGTACCTACACCCGTCTGTACAGAGGTGCTTGCACAGTTGTTGGACCATCCCGCTAACCGACCTGACTGACTGACTGCCTGACTACTCGGTTGTCTCTCCCCCGCCTGACCAACCTGACTGACTGATTTCCTGACCACTTCCGTTGTCCCTACCCGGCCTGACCGACCTGACTGACTGACCGCCTGACTACCCGCCTGTCACGTACTTCATGCCTAACCAGCCTGACTGACTAACCGACTGACCGACACACTGCAGCACTCTTAGTCTAACCAGCCTGACTAACTAATCAGCTGACCGCTCAACCTTCGATGGTTCCCCCCACGCTGACTGACTGACCGATTGACTACACTTAATAGTACCTTACTAGGTACTGTACCTACCGGTTAAAGTTCAGTATACCGGTAGGTACGCCATACTGCATGTACTGTATGCAAATCTTGGAGGCCAACCGGGTACCGGTACGTCCAATTGAAGGAGGCTGCCTTTGAAATTCAGGGGGCGTATTTACTGCCCGGTTGCGCGCACAGACTACTTTGCATGTGCCCGACTACAGTACGGTACATATCAGGGGACTTGATTCCGTGAACTTCATTCCAAATTTACTTTTTCGTTTTCAAATTAATATACCTACTCGGGTGAACGGCCTAACTAAAACACCTAACGTAAATGCTGAACCAATCCGCAACCCAACCCACCCTAACCACCAGGCAAACCCCACCCGTCACCCGGGCATGAATTTGTTAGTATATATTCGTGGTATTCACCTTTAGCTCGTGTAAGGGGTGTGTCCCAAGCAGGACCACCCCGGCCTTCGGCCCCCGCCTGCCTACCCCCCCTTCCCACCGTCAGTATTATTGCACTGATCAGTACATACGGTACTCAACGACTACCGTACCTAGCTAGCCGTCTGGGTATGTACCGGTACTGGTAATTTTAAGCGGAAGGTACAGCACCTGCCATTACCCAGTACGGTACCTGTGCTGACTTGCACCATGCAGGTACCGTACTCATTTGGTAAGGTATAGGTATATAGGTATACCGGTACCGCGTTTCGAAAGGTACTGTACGTAAATACCGTACACATTTACGATGGGTGTGCCGGCCGCCGGTACATACTACATACTACAGCTACAGTACACAATTCGGAGGCCAGGGCTCCCTGGGCCGGTTGTACCGTGGTCCGTGTAGCAGTTGCAGTGCACGCGGCAGTATACCAGTACATTTCACTGGACTGTCGGACCGGGCGGTAGCCCTACGGCTATCACTGGCGCCAAGTGCGGCCGGTTAGGCGGTCAGTCAGTCAGGGGTGGTCAGCGAGGAGAAGGCCCGAGGCACGGGCCGTGAGTTTTGGTTAGGTTTTGGTCAGTCATGCCCGGTTCACATGCGTTTTCAAAGTTTGCCGAAACCGGCGAAAACTCGGCAAAATGGGCCGCGTTTTCATCTTTCAAAACGCGGCCTCCGTCGACCGCGTTCGGTTTTGACAAATACGCAGCTTTGAAATGCGGTCGAGTTTCAGCGAGTTTTGGCCAGTTTTCGGATACTCGGCAAATACCGAGCTCGGTTTTGCTCGGTTTTCGAAAGTGGTGTTCATATGCGTCCCGCTGATTACGGAGCTGCCACGTCGGACATATTTGGCAAAACCAAGCAAAACTGAGCAAAACTGGACGCATGTGAACCGGGCATCAGTCAGGCTAGTCTGGGCGACAAGGCGAACCGGTTAGGCAGTCAGTCAGTCAGTCCGGTCAGACTATAAATGTACGCTCACCCATCGAAATCGTGAAAATGAGCATTATAATAGCCGGTAGCTCGTGCCTGAGGTTGGCAATGTCCACGATTTCCCGTGTGGACGTGATTACCGGGCCCCTATATCTGTACACGTAGATATTTGCTGTCCATGCAAATCTCGTCACGTCATGTTGCCGTGACCACGCTTTCTGTCTCGACTTGTGAAGCTTATCGTGACAGCGTGTCGTTCTCTACGTGTGTGGCTAAGATAGCGTTCTTT